TAAAATAATAAAACATAATATAAAACAGTAAAATATGAACAATGTATATAATAAGATATAAATTCACAGAAGAAATATAAATATAGTTTCATATAAAATATAAAAGGTTTGTATGAATATCTTATAGTAAACTTGAAATATGTGTTATATTTTATGTTATATTATATGATATCATATATAAAATAATATAAAAATATAACAAATAATAATGAAATAATTGAAAAAATAAGTAATAATATAATAATAGCAAAATAATAATTTAAAAATATGATAATAACGTAAAATATAATATATAAAATAATAAAACTTAATATAAAATAGTAAAATATGAACAATACATATAATAAGATATAAATTCACAGAAGAAATATAAATATATTTTCATATAAAATATGAAATTTTTATGAATATCTTACAACGTGTAACTTAGTTACAACGTGTATTTAAAAATGTGTATTTAACAGTGAATCTGTATTGATACTAAAGAATTTTTCTGTTTTATTTTTCAGATTTGAAAAAGAGATTGAGCATCCGCAGACAAGATGATGGTAGGAAAAATTTTGACATGGATGTCATATTCTCTCATTGTCAGCGAATGCCATATTCGAAAGGGACACGACGAAGATGGCTCCAAGCTAATACGGATCAATGGTGACGTAATTCTCGGTGGAATCTTTCCTATGCACGAACAGGTATATTTCCGTTGCATTTTATAGCAAATCGTTTGAAACTAACGTATGGGAGGAAAATTCTACTGTATTCGTGGCTGCATTGTGTCATTAAAATTCATTACTAAGTTCGATAGAAAGAAATTAAGCCACTTAGTTGAAGTTTACCTAACTTCAGGAACTACGTTACAGTTTCACGCCTGAAGCATAAATTCGCGAGAATCAAAGGTTTTGAAATAATAAGTTTAATACGAAACCCAGAATAACTCGTTACCGATGAAGGAGAATTTATGAATTTTATTTGCAATATAAAATAAAATATTACAAATGTTATATTTTATATTCAGTTCAGATAAAAATCAAAACGCTATTAAAAGACTGAATTTGACATTGCCCCATCGAACAAAATTCACTTTGAAAAATAACAAGTCACGAACATTCATTATGAGAATATTCATCTCTGTGTTCGAAAATAGAATTTTCCATCCATCGAGAAAATCATTTTCCCTGCAATAAAGTGAAATATTGGCTCTCATTACAGTATTGGCCATGTTAACACACGAATTGTTAGTTTTAATTAGATTAGAAAATTCTGTTTCATAAATTCTATTCTCCATGAAAACCCAGATCAAAATTTCAGTTACATGTGAAAACGTATTGTATACTTCGTTCAAAAATTTTCGTGAAACGTATGCACACGGGGAATAAATTAAAATTCAATTGCTTTTATAATATTACATGTAATAATTATTAATATTAAAGTAAATTCCATTTTACCTTAATTTTGTTAATAATATCTTTACTTATAAATATACACA